TCAGTCTTTTTTTTTTTTTTTTTTTTTGGTGAGACAGAGTCTTGCTCTGTTACCAGGCTGGAGTACAGTGGTGTAATCTCGGCTCACTGCAACCTCCGCCTCTTGGGTTCAAGCAATTCTCCTGCTTCAGCCTCCCAAGTAGCTGGGACTACAGACATGTGCCACCACAGCCGGCTAATTTTTGTATTTTTAGTAGAGACGGGGTTTCACCATGTTGGCCAGGATGGTCTCGGTCTCTTGACCTCATGATCCGCCCGCCTCAGCTTCTCAAAGTACTGGGATTATAGGCATGAGCCACTGTGCCCGGCCATAGTTCACTGGTAGGATAAGATCCTTAAACTGTTCACTCATTCATTAACCCATACAAGATTAACTACATTTTGGTAATGTTTTGGCATTTCTATCATACTGTTTCTTCAATGCTTCACTGCATCTTAGAAATCTAGTCTAAAATAAAAAGGTTACTAAATTATCAGCAAAGGAATGTCTCAGAAACTAAAACTATAATCATTATTGGCATTTATGGGGCCTAATTCTTCGCTTACTCTTTAGTTAAGGGCCATGTGGGCATAAAAAAGCACCATCACGACTGAGCATTGAGAGGATTCTCATCCCCTCAGCAGGGACCTACACTGCTCATTTAATATTGCATGTTCTCACTCCTATGTAGGAGCTTTAAAAAGTGGATCTCATGGAGGTAGTAGAATGATGGTTAGCAGAGGCTGAGAAGGTGTTTCCCAGTTGGGAGCGTGGGGCAGTGGAGGGAGATAGAAGGAAAAAATTCTCAAGTTTGATAGAACAGTAGGGTGGCAACAGTTATCAATGGTTTATTGTATGTTTCACAATAGCTGGAAGAGGAGATTTAAAATGTTTCTGGAACAAAAAAATACTAAATGTTTGAGGTGATGGATATCCTAATTATCCTGATTTGATCATTACACATTGTATACATGCATGCAAATATCACATGTACCCCATAAATATTTGTACAATTGTTGTGTATCAACAAAAAATTAATTTTTAAAAATGGATATTTAAGCAATATAATTAAAAGACAATAGCCATTCAAATCAGAATGCTAACAGATTAAAAGCTTAGCTGTTTATTAAGCAGGAAGGAAAAGGAAAAAAAGTAAATATCCATATGAATCTGGTCTATGAGGGATTTTTTTTTTTTTTTTTGAGACAGAGTCTCACTCTAACACCCAGGCTGGAGTGGTGCAATCTTAGCTCACTGCAACGTCCACCTATGACCTATGAGGCCTTTTAATGTTTTAATGCAAACATTAAAAGGCCTCATAGGTCATGCAAACATAATGCATTAATGTTTTAATGCAAACATTAAAAGGCCTCATAGGTTGTAGACTTTTAAAATTTATAGACAAGTATTTTTATAAGTGCAAGTATTTATAGACATGTATTTTTAATAAATGCAAGTATTTCATACATCTTTATGAAATACAAAATGGATAAACAGAAGTGAACAAAAAATAATTAGAGTAAAAGCTAGGTCAATAAGCAGCAAAAGGAAATTAAGTTTTCTAAATAAATGCTTCTCAAATATGAATGTCCATATGAATCAGCTGGGGACCCTGTTAAAAATGAAAACTCTGATCTCAAAGTCTAGTCAAGCGCTCAGGGGATGCTGCCGACATTTAAACTATACTTTTAGTAGCAAGACTGATACATGCTTGGCACACAATAGTAATTAGTATTACCTGTAATAGTTTCTCATTTGTGGTTTTCATCTCTAGGTACTTGACTTGGTTTTCAAGAGACATATTTTTGATAATGTCATCTGCTGCTTGTTTTTCCTGTTCAATTTCTTCTTCTACACTTCTCATTTGTTTCTCTTTCCTGAAATCAAAAGCTCATAATATTCCTGATACAATATTGAGGAAAAAATATCCAATTATTTTACACAAGTCACAGTCCTAATAGGATACTTAAAGATATTCAACCATAGTGTGTGACTGAAAAGTCTTTATATTTGTACTAAAAAATGCTATTTGACCTATATAAAATTTGGCCCCATTAGCACAAACTTATTTTACATCTTTCTCTTCTCCATCCCCAAATTCCTCTATTTCCTTACTTTCCATTTTACTTTACTAAGAAATCACAAAGATTATCAGAGAAAATCCTTAATGACTTATATATATGAGGATGCATTTATACATTTTTAAAATCGTACCTTTAAAAGATAAGAAGTTTTAGAATTGTGGTTTTCAAGCATCCTTCAGCCACAAAATTTTTTGACCAAATTAAATATTGTATAGAAGTTTGCAGGTCGGGCGCAGTGGCTCAAGCCTGTAATCCCAGCACTTTGGGAGGCCGAGGCAGGTGGATCACGAGGTCAAGAGATCGAGACCATCCTGGTCAACATGGTGAAACCCCGTCTCTACTAAAAATACAAAAAATTAGCTGGGCATGGTGGCGCGTGCCTGTAATCCCAGCTACTCAGGAGGCTGAGGCAGGAGAACTGCCTGAACCCAGGAGGCGGAGCTTGCGGTGAGCCGAGATCGCACCATTGCACTCCAGCCTGGGTAACAAGAGCGAAACTCCGTCTCAGAAAAAAACAAACAAACTAAAAAACAAAAACAAAAAAAAAAAAAACAGAAGTTTGCTATGTAAATCATGCAGTGCAGCTCTCACAGAACAAGGGAGTACAGAAACCTACAGTTCAATTCAATTTTTTAAAAATTATGGCTTTAGATTAGTAATATGTTTTGCTTAAATTCTCTTTTACTTACTGTTTTAGTTAACATTGTTATTTCACAAACTATTGCTATTTTTTAGCACTGTAAAATATTAAGCTAATGTCTCTAAAAATAACTGAAAGATTATACACATAATCATATAAAAGCAGTAATAGTGAAATTAATTAGAAGCAATAACCATTTTTTTATATAATCAAAAGAAATACCAATGACATGCCACTTATTGCCTAGGGAAGGTCAATTACTGATAAGGTGGAGAAAAATTCTGAAAAAAGAATAGGTAAGATGCCACTTATCTAAATACTTTCAAGATTCACATTTTATAAAAAGCTTGATTGAGCATACATTTTTAGTCCCAAGATCATTCATTTCTATTTTGGGATTCAAAATCTGATTCACCTATCATTATTTACTCTCTTTCACTCATAGATATCAACCTCTACAGTTTTCAGTATCACCAGATAAGGCTGTAGGTCCACATATCCCCTACATACCTTCTACACATTCATATCTTACTATTAGAATAAACAACCTAAATTCAGAAATTTCCCTACAAAAAAAAATCTCCAAAATAACCAAGTAAAAGATGAACATAATAAAACAGACAACCTGGAATTTCAATTTATTTTTGCCTCAATTTATTTATTTTTGTTGGAGAAGTGATATCTTCAATTGGAGCTTCAATTTCAACAGTATAACAAACGTGTGTCCTGCTGCTACAATTTGTATAGGTATATGAGCTTCTGCTACAATTTGTATAGGTATATGAGCTCACAGAATTTGAAAGAGGAAAATATGTATTTCACTCTCTTTATTTTATAGATTAAGGATACTGAAGCCCAGTGGAATTAATCTTTTGGAGCTAATTCATTTTAAACTTGATTACTGACTACCAACAATGTTTCTTCCTACAATGTAGTTAGATGAGAACTAATGTTGTAGTAAAGTATTCCATTTTACAGAGGAGAAATTACAGCATAAGAAACATCAACTGATTTCCTAAAAGCCATATAATGTCCAGGTGTCAGGTCTTTTTGATGCTCTGAGCACTTTGCTCCTGTTACAACTTGGCAATAAAACCACTAATGATGGTGTCATAAAAATAAGTAAACAACAAGTTGAAACTCAATAGAATATAAAATTTGGTGGTATCTTTACAATTTAAATCCTTCCCTCCCTCCTTTGTTCTCCCTCCTTCCCTCCCTTCTCCCCCCTCCACCGATGATGGTGTCATGAAAATAAGTAAACAACAGAGTTGAAACTGAACAGAATACAAAACTTGGTGGTACCTTCACAATTTGAAACTCCTCCTGAACAGAATACAAAACTTGGCGGTACTTTTACAATTTGAATCATCATCTCCCCCTCCCCCTCCCTCTCCCCCTCCCCCTCCTCCTCCTCCAGTACAATCATACCCCACTACAGGCTCAAGCCATTCCCCAACCTCAGCCTCCCAAGTATCTGGGACTAAAGGCACACAACACCATGCCTAACTAATGTTCTTATTTTTTATTTTGAGCAGAGACAAGGTCCTGCTAAGTCAGCCAGACTGCTCTCATAATTCTGAGTTCAAATTATTCTCTCACTTTAGTCTCCCAAAGTGCTGGGATTACCTCAGTTTGAATCTTTCTAAGCACAAAATAACTTCAGGACAAACATAAATTAATTTAGCAACAGTATATCTTTCAGAAGTATTCATTTTCAATATTGTAAACCCTAAATCAACAAGTAAAATTGTTAATATTTTAATAAAATTTTCTCTAAGAGTCATTTAGAAACACAAAGGTGGCTGGGTACAGTGGCTCACACCTGTAATTCTAGCACTTTGGGAGGCTGAGGCAGGTGGATCATCTGAGGTCAGGAGTTCGAGATCAGCCTGGCCAACATGGCAAAACCCGATCTCTAGTAAAAATACAAAAATTAGCCAGGTGTGATGGCAGGCGCCTGTAATCCAAGCTACTCAGGAGGCTAAAGCAGGGAGAATTGCTTGAACCCGGGAGGCGGAGGTTGCCGTGAGCCAAGATTGTGTCACTGCCTGGGTGACAGAGCAAGACTTCATCTCAAAAAAAGGAGAGAAAAAAGAAAAAAACAGAAACACAAAGGTTAGGCAAACAGTCTTACTTGCTACACCGAAAAAGGAAAAGATGACTTTAAGAAATTATTCTTCTAGTCAATATTTTGCTAAGGTAGTTTTTTTTTTTTTAATCACCTGTTCACTGGGTACAAAGGTTAAAACAAAGTGAAATGTAACCAGATGATATACTTTTTTTAATGCTGTAGAAGAAACAGGAAAATTTCCATTAGCACACCGGTCTTAGAGACAAAAGAAAAAAGTAAAGGTAAGATCCTATATATTTATAGCTTTGATTATTGTTGTATTTTTTAAAAAATCATATTTAAGTTTGTTAAGTCTATACAACAATCTCTGCCTTCAAGAAGTGACAAAGAGAAGAAAATATGATTATATTTTCGTATGGTCTACCTCAAAAATGCTATATACCTGGGACATGGCCAAAGGGTCTTTCCTAAATAAAGTTAGAATACAACACAAAGTCATTGTTTTGGGGGGAAAAAGGTTTTATCTAGCCAATCAATTTATAAGATTTTTTTATTTTAAAATATGTTAATCACAGAGCATTCTGAAGTGACATCAGTCAAACAGCCAACTTGTGAGATTAAAAAAAGACTGGCCATGAGTTGATAATTATTGAAGCAGGGTGATAACTATTCTCCTTACTTAGGTTTTTTCCTTGAAATTTTCCATTACAAAAAGGTTTTAAATTTGGAAAAAAAAAAATGGTTCAAGAAAGAAATGAAGTTAATTGTGTATTATTAACATCTTACTCCAAATACATTGAATTCTGGCATAAATATCTAAAATGCTTAATGGCAAAACTACATTTAGATTTTATTTAACAAAACCAAAATAATTACAGTGTTAAATAAATAACTTAAGAAACAGGTACTTGAAACTTTATTTAAAGAACAATGCTTCGTTTTCAGTATCTACCATTTCCTTTGAGTAAAGCTCTTTTTTTTCAGTAATGTAGGTCATACGCTAGGTAAAAATGCACTTAATTTTGTGAAATAACAAAAGAAACTGATATTCTACTTTCTATTCCAGTGTTCTATTTTATATTAGTTCCTAAGTAATCCCTATATGAAACTCAACTATTATTTAAAAAAAAAAAATCCAAATTGAGAAAATATTCCAAAAGGAGAATAAAAGGCAACAATAATTGACTTCTTTTTAAACCAACTGGTGAAATAAGCTAAACTGACTCATGGATAATTTCTGCATAATCTGCTTGGCTAGCTATTCTGCTTGATTTTTTTAAGACACCCAATAATGTTAGCAAATCCATTTGTCTAGGGATTTATTCGGTGTCATGATAGTCAACATTCACCCCCTCTTTCCATTTTTCTCCCCTCAAAAGGGACACTAATATGTGAAAACTCTCATGGATAGTATGGATCAATCAATGTATTTCACAGCTTGAGACCTAACAATGCTTTAGGTTTGTTGAATGCTTTCTTGTACAGAATCTACCATGAGCTGAGTATACACTGCTTCTAAGATCTATCAAGTGGAAAGAAAAAATCTTTTTCTAATCCTTGTGATTTTTTTCCTTTAGCACAGTTAAGAAAACAATTATTAGTATTAAATAGTACATACAGATAATAAATATAAGACCATCCTCTGTCTCCATTTCCACACAAGCTAACAGACCTGCCTTGCCTCCATTAATTTCTTCATCTGCTTCTATTTCACATTAACTTTTACCTTAAATCTAGTTAATTTTCTTTGTATCCTATTTGCTTTCTTTCCCTACCCCCATCCTATTTGTTTCTGGAAAAAAACTGTACTTCCTTACTCACCTGCCCTCAGTCACCTCTGCATCCCAGCAGAGACATGAGTAAGAATTTTACTATATCATTGAGAAAAACTGAAACAAGCCACTGAAGAAACTGAACACCTATTCCTAGAAATCATTAAATATAGATAAACTACCTTTTGTAAATGATTTAGGCATCCCTTTTCTGTGGGTAATCATCTTGAATAAGTGATAGCTTAAACGCACTTCTGGTTCTAAAAGGGATTCTATTATGATCTACATCCAAATTGTATAAAATCTAGGAGGCAGAGTAGATTTTCCCAGCAAATTTGATTTAACTATGAAAAGAAAGAAGGTAGAAAATCTAGAAGACAGAGTAGCTTTTCCTAACAAATTTGATTTAACTATGGAAAGAAAGAAGGAAGAAGGGGAAAAAGCATAAATGAATCAACAAATCAAAGGCAATGAGGAAGTTAACTAGAACAGACTTGCATTAAAATAGCAGTAAATTCCTCATTGCTAATGAGGCGACAAACTTTAGTATGCTGCATGGATTCTTGCTTACTCTGATTAGTTTTTCTATTCCCTGTTGTAATGAAATAAACTTTACCTTAAAAAGTCATAAATAACTAATTGTAATAAACGCTGTAAGAAGGCTCAAAAGGCTAAATTTCAGAACACCCTGAAGGATGACAGAATATATTCATTTATTTTCAAATAGATAATTTGTTTGTAGAAGGGTTTCTAAAGTTGACTTTATGAAAACAGAGATGAAGAACAAGAAACATCAAGGTCATCAATAAAATGATTAAATAAAAAAGTGACTATTTGGCAAGAAGAGTATAGTCCTATAAATGTCAATTTCTAGGCAAAGCTGACACGTTAAATGTACCCATTAACTTTAAATTGTGTTCAAAACCTGACTAACATGAAAACAAAAGGTACAAAGGGATATAAACTCACAAGGACAAAGAGAATGGAAGAAGAGTCAATAGCAATGAGACCTAGAAGCCAAAAACGTAATAGCTGAGTGGAAATTGACTAGGAAAACAAAATTTCCCAAGTCAGCAATGAGAAAAGCTGAGGGTCACTTGAATTATACTGCAGAAACTCTAAATAGCTCAGAAATTGGCAGCACCAGGTATTCTGAAAGTAGAGGAGAGGCTAATTCCCCTGTCTCTGCCTAGCCAGATAATGTTCCTTCCCTATACAAGCAGATTAGAGGTTCCCCCCACCATGAGAATAAAACAAGGGAATTTGGGCAGTAGGCATAAGTGAGTGCAAAGGCATTGTTGAGATTAAGTTATAGTGTACATACTAAATACTGATACAAATCCAGCTTTTTCATCACTTAGCACTCAGAATGCTGGCTACCATGCCATTATTTCTTCAGGCAGTAAATTAGAAGAGTCATTTTGTGGATACAGTAATGACATTCTCTAAGAAACAACAGTCCAGCAGTTACACTCTAAGGTAAAGTCTAGAAACAATGAAACCCACACAAATGAATCTTCCTATCAGCTTTTTAGTTTCCAACTCTCACACATAAGCCCTAAACAAAATATTAACAGACTATGAAGAAGGCCTCCAATATAAAGGACACTGCCCAGAGATAACTGGAAAAACACAAGCCAAGGATATAGGGGCTATTCAAAGAAAAGGAACATAACAAAAGGCAAACAATAAACAATAAAATATAATATATTCATGCAACAGGATACTAATAAAGAAAATACTCTGAAACAAAAAAAGCTCTTAGAATTAAAAAAGATGGCAAAAAAAAAAAAAAACCATTAAGAGTGTGAAGATAAAGTTGAGGATGTCTCCCAGAAAGGAAAGCAAAAAACACAAAGAGATAAAATGTAGGACAGTTAAGGTTTTTTGTTGTTGTTGTTGTTTGAAACAGGGTCTTGAACTTTCACCCAGGCTGGAGTGCAATGGCACGATATCGGCTCACTGCAACCTCCATCTCCCAGGTTCAAGTGATTTTCCTGCTTCAGCCTTCTGAGTAGCCGGGTTTATAAGCTTGCACTACCATGCCTGGCTAATTTTTTGTATCTTTAGCAGAGATGGGGTTCTACCATGTTGGCCAGGCTGGTCTTAAACTCCTGACCTCATGATCCACTCGCCTGGGCCTCCCAAAGTGCTGGGATTACAGGCATGAGCCACCATGCCTGGCCCAATTAAGGTTTTAAAAACTGAAAAATCATTTCAGGAGGTCCAACACCCAATTAAGGAAGTTCTAGAAAAAAACAGTGAAATTTTATTTTAAAAAAGAAAGGGGCTGGGCACAGTGGCTCATGCCTGTAATTCCTGCACTTTGGGAGCCTGAGGCAGGTGGATTCCAAGGTCAGGCATTTGTGACCAGCCTGGCCAACATGGTGAAACCCATCTCTACTAAAAATATAAAAATTATCTGGGCATGGCGGCAGGCACCTATATAGTCCCAGCTACTTGGGAGACTGAGGTAGGAGAATTACTTGAACCCAGGAGGTGGAGGTTGGACTCCAGCCTGGGTGACAGTGTGAGACTCCATCTCGAAAAAAAAAAAAGAAAGAAAGAAAATTATCAATATCATCAATAATTCAGAAAATCTCTCAGAACTGAGTGACATAGCTTCCAGATTGAAAGAGCTGATCAAGTACCCAGTTTAATAAGTGAAAATAGACTCCCACAAAGACACAGGGCAATGAATATAGTATTGATTTTAAAAGCTTTGATAAATAATTAGAATGACATGGTATCATGCTTAACAGTAATACTAGAAACTGAAAGACAGTGGGGTAATGACATCAACATTTAGAGTGAAAATTATTTCCTACTTAGAATTCTATCTCTAGTAAAAATATCTTTCTAAGTCTAAAAAGTTTTCCCTCCTATCTGCATTCTCAGGAAGCTACTGAGGAAACTCCATTGAAAAATGACAATAAACCAAGACAGGGTGTTCTAGAAAATAAATGTCTAGTAACAAAGGCTAAAGGGAGACTCTGATGAGGGTGGAAGTAAACAGTTGTGCAGAAGGCCTAGTGATCAGCTCCTCTAGATTAGAGCATGGTAGCAGGCTCTGGAAGGGACTTTTTAAGCTGATGAAACAGATTAAATACTTAATATCCATAAATGAATGAAAGGTATGCTAGGGGAGAGTTTGGTCATATCAAGAAAAACTATAGAAAACTAAGCACATGAAAAAACAGTACAATTAGTTCGGAGGAAACAAAAAGGGTGCAGCAACTGAAAAGTGATCTTGTTAAATGTCTTAGTCAATAATAGCTTTTTATTTACTAAGTTCAATAAAACTTCATATATTCATGATAGCACAAACACAATACTCATCTATCCAAAACTAGAAGTAACTATGTTGGGAGATAAAGACATAGGAAATATATTTTTGATGTGCTAGAGATGAAAGAAGGAGGTATTAGAAAGAGAGCTGAAGGGACTTTCAATTCAAAATGGTGGCCAAAAAGCAAGCTAGCTTCAATCCCCTCTACAGAAAACCAAAA